TAATTTGTAATGATCTCTTCTGTTTGGCAGTTTTCTTAAACATAAGATTGAAAATTAAAGTTTGAAAAAGAAGAATATTCGTTGTTTTTAATATTGATTTCCACAATAGAAAAACGCTAAATGAGAACATAGACAGTTGTTCTTATTTTATATACCTTTAAAAATGAGTATTATTATTAGATAAAGAAAAATATTCATTCACTATAGAAATTCATCGAACAAACTATGATTATAAAAATCAATAGAAAATTCTCAAAAGTAAATGAAATATATTTTTATTTGATCTCTTTTTAATACGATTAAACACTTTTACAGACATTAAATACAAGAAATAATTTATCTATTTAAACGAATGAACAATAATGAAACACAACATGTAAACGCAAAAAGATTTATATTTAAACTAAGCTGCGATATGTTTTGTTTCTTGACGCTGTATTTCTAATGCTATCTCATTGTAATGCTGGCCATAAAACCAACCCTACAAACGAACAAGATATGTTAATATCGATTAGACTTTTAAAAAAATACCGACAAACAACTCCTGTTGAAATTGGTTATCAGTAATATTCCATTGCTCGACAATTGCTTGAATTTCATCGAATGTCGGATATTTGTTCACCGTATAATCTAGTTTAGATAATCAGATATTGATAAATATAATATTTGAATAAATATACCTACATTGACGTAAATATTCAAGTTGTTCATTGCTTAATTTCTCTTCCAGTCTTCTAATGTCTAAATAAATTGAATCTACTGATACATTATGACAGAAACATAAAAATTTCGAACAGTCCAAATACATTACAAGTACAGTTAAGTTTCAACATAGTTCAACTGTAATATTCATTCTTAGCATAACTTCGATGTCACATATCATAAAAGTATTATGATTTCGTATCAAATCATATTTCAAAATTATTCGTAAGCTAAAAAAAGTGATTGTTATTTTTGACTAGATTTTTTTAAGTTCTATTTTTCTTACATGATCTAGTATAGATCAAACATTTGATCTATTCAAACGTTGCCGATATACAAGTAATAAAGAAAGACGTTAGCAGAATAAAAAAACAAAAACAACAGTTCAAAAAATGATCCATTTATCTATTGAGGTCATTTTTCACTACAACGGATCTTGAGAAAAAATTCAATTAATTAAAATTTGACTTTGTTGCTCAGACTCAAATGCTCCTGTTGATATGTAAAATGTCATGTTTTTATGAGTAATGCTTTTCACTTATCCTTTCCACTAACATCGTGTTTTGTCAAGTAGAACTAAATATGACATGATCGTCTTCATGGCAAAGCAACTGATAGAGATATTCAAGTGGAAATTTTTCTCGGGACTTATTCACTTTTCAATAAGCAGTCATGATCAATTTCTTATCCATTTAAGAAACAACCATCAGCTTGCTATCATTTCGTAAAATATCAAGCAATTTAAGTTTAGATATACCCTTCTAAGTGTTCAAATGATGAAGTTAAAAATAGACTTTGATCTGTACTTTTTCTCACACATCGTTATAATGCCTATGTGAAACAGCTATAGACATGTGGATCAAGTTATCTTCGAATAGTTCCATCTTAAGCAGAATCATTTCTCAGAATTGTCTCATCTGATAAGTCATTGCTGACAGATCATTAATCGGTACACTAAGAAATATTATTTCAATTGTCTCCGAATAAAGATATGAAAATGAAAGCAAATGTCTAGCTAATTATTGATTTCAACTCAACAAAAGTAAAAATGAATTTTTCCACTTTAAAAACAACTTACTCGCAATGTATGGAGCCAAGAAGTTTTTAAGCCAATCGAAACTCATGAAAATAATTAATATGAACAAATTTATTTAACAACTACAGTTGGTTAATGATTTGTTTTTCGACATTGATATTTCTCATGCCATTTTATATGTTGGATATGTACAAAGAAAAGCCAATGTGAAAGAAAAATTTGTCGATCTTTGTTTCATCAATATACGAATCAGACGAGCAGAAGCTTTCACATATATGATCATTTGCACAACAATGAAATGATAGGATCAACGAGAAAACAAAAGAACACAAACTAGACTACCACTCGGACGAAGCTCAATTAACAAAGCTGGCTGACTACACGAAGTGCACTAGTTGACGTTTTTCTTCTCAGTCGCTTGATTATCATGTTCAAGCTTTTCTCGGTGTTTGAACTTTCGTAATTTTGTTTTAGTTATACAAAATCTTAATTGAAATATACAGTAAAACTTATAGTAGTGAACACCTTTCATAGGTGAATACCTTCAATTTTGAATAAGGTTTCGGTCAGACAGAACGATTTTTGCTGAAAATGTAACTCCTATAGATGAACACCTCCCTACTGTGAGCATGAACACTGTTTTTACACTCGCAACCCTTACTTTAATCTCTCTTATAATGGAAGGTTGCGTACTGCCAGTAAAGCAGATTGAACATATTTGGGTCAAATGAAAGCTCTCACCGCCAAACTAACAAATTTATACTATTATATGCCCATAGCATATCAAGAGGAAATTATTTAAATTTCAAGGTATGTGAAATCTAGATATAAAGTGGATCAGGAAAGGATCTCTCCCCTATTGTAAAGACAAAACATGATGTTATGCGGTCCAAATGAAAGAGAGTCCCTCCAAATTCCCTAGTTGGTCCGAACAACATCATGTTTTTGCCCTTACAATGGTGCATAAATCTTTTTCTGATTCACTTTTATATCAAGATTTCACATACCTTGAAATTTAAATAACTTTCACTAGATACACTATTGGCATGTAATATTTTAAATTTGTCAGGTTGGTGATGAGAGCTTTCGTTTGACCCAAATATGTTCAATCTCCTTCACTGACAGTACATGACCTTCCATTGTAAGATGTTATTAGTATAGGGTTACTAAGACTATACTCTAAAAACAATTAGAAATACAAAAATAAGAAAACATGATATTGAAAATGATTTTTTTTTGGAGTTGAACAAACGTACGTTGAAAATATTCTTTTAAATAGAAAAAAAGGATAGTTTGATTTTGAAAATACTTGTTTCGTTTCACCTATTCTGTTATGTGTACTGAAATACAATGATAAAATCGCTTGTTAGCATTGGGTTTTAATTATCGGTGGTATTTTCGAGTTGTTTACTATTTTATTTAGATTGATAGCTGCATACATTAGCCGTCATATTGACTATTATTGTAAATGATCATCATCATTAGTCACCAATTTATGATTAACATCCGACAATGTCCGATGGAAATTCAGGCTACAGAATCGATAACGGATCCGAAAGTCGAATCCAGATGAGTATCCAGTGACATTCAACTGTAGGAACTGGTAGAGGCTTTCATCGTTGATTGCCGATAAAATTCTCATAGGTTCTCACTAAGAGTTTTTGAACCCTGGGTGTGACAGTAGCAGTGGTTGTGGATGTATATGCCAATGTAGAAGCGTGAGGAGTTCTTCAGTGACACTCACGCACGTACCCACACGCATACCCACATCTAAAACATATGTACTTACAGATTATTAAGATGAGAAAATGAAGCAAGAAATCGTATAATTATTATTAGATCACTACACGCAACGGATACACAATAGAGACACAGCAATCTGGAGGTTCAATATTGATGCGGATGCAGAGTATGTGAGGTGAGATTGCGAGTTGGTCTTCTATTTATCCACACCTACACTCATATCCGTCCATCCACATCCTGATCATACTCACATACCTCAGTCTCACATGTAGATATGTTCTTGTTTATGTCTTTCTCTGGTGCTGTATTCTCTCTTATAATTTTGATAAGCGTTTTCGAGTGTCATACAAAACGGGCGCAGTTCAACAAAAAATCGTCCAAATTCATCATTCTATCGGTCGAAATAAGTTTTCTTTGTTTTCTTTTTTGCATGACTACTGTCTCACTATCACATACATATGCCAAACAGCGCACCCTCGATAATCAAGCACACAATAGCATCTTCATCAGCTTCTCCTTCACAAGCCAAATTTACCGTAGTCGAAAGTGTGAGTGTGAATGTGGATCTTATCTTACATTCATGCCCACACCACCCACCCTCATACTAAAATCTTCGAAATGTATCAATAATTCCTTGGTTAAAAAAAAAATTAGCAAGAAACTGTCAAAGAAATAAAAGTAATAGCCAGAACTTTGATTTCAAACTGAAAATGTTTTTTAATATCTGTAACTGAACGTAGTTTTGTTTAATTAGCCCGTTCGAACCTTGTAATAAACCAATTCGGGGTCTCCATCATCATCCAAATTGTGAATAACTCCAGTCAGTTGATATTTCAGTTTAGCAAGTAATGATTGCATGGCTAAATTAGACAGATTCGTCGACGTAAACAATTTCTTTGTCGTAATTACAGTTCTCTCTTCTAAATAATGCATCAACATTAGACCAACGCCTTGTCGTCGATACGACGAGTGGACACGAAGCATTGAAATGAAAGCTTGTGCATAGAAAGAATAGTCCAGTACAGCATAACCAACAATGAGTGTATCATTCCAAATAGCAACATGACAGTGAGATGACATCACGGATCGTTCAAGAAAAGAACGGATGAAATCACGATCATCGATTGAATCACAAATTTGGTCAATGTCGTTCGTCGTGGCTAAACGACACGAAATCATCTTCTTGCAAATCTCCACTGATTTCTCCATAACTCGATGTATTCTTTATTGACATCTACTTCTTTTTGCCATATCAGATCTGTTGTGCAATTATTACGTTGCACAAGATAAGCGATAAATACAACGTCGCAGTTTCTTCTACTCACTCAACAACAACAACTATTTTATTTCAAGACGAGTGAAAAATATCAATCAAAGAATTTTTCTTTAAGGGCCCCCCCCCCCTCAAAAATGTCAAATTTCGTCAGAAAAACGAAATTTGAGAGGAACGCATAGCTGAATACTATGAAGCCTGAACATTAAGAATTAGCATGATTTTGAGGTTTGGTCCTTCAAAAAATTATATCCTTTGGCTAGACAGATNAGGAATTAAATCAGTTATCATATTTCTAATAGTTTGTAAATGTGTTTTAAGAAAAGTACTTAATTTTGAAATTAATTGTCTAAATTGAGTTGCTAAATTACCATTAAGAAAACTTTGAAGAATTTCAAGCATTGATTGTTGAAAAGAAAGTCTAAATGATTGAAGTTCACTCAGAAGACTTAATCGAGCATCATTTTCTAAATCACGTTTACCAAGTGCTGGAATTTTATCACCAATCCATGATGTTACAGTATAAATAGCACCTGAAACTGCATTTGTAACAGTAGAATGTATATTTAAAATTGTACCAATAGCTGAATCAATATTTTCAGCAATTGGACCGACTACTGGACTTATGATGTCCCATATATCCATAAGTCCACGTTGTTCTGCCAGAGAAATACTAGTGCTAAAAGCACCATGGAGTTGAACAATAATAAAACAATAAGAATAAGTTTCATGTTTTTAATATTCGTAAAATGTGTGTTTTGGTTTGGAAGAAAACAGCTTTTTAAGTATAACTAACAGATGGTTTTATTTCTCATATTTGTATTTTATCAATTTAGTTAGCACTTTGCTATTATGATGTGCGAGATGCTTTAAGGATTCAAGAGGATCATCCATTAGCCAATCGTATGATGTTAGCTCTTGAAGAAACTGCTAAACAATCATGTGATAATTGTGTACATATGTCAATTAAAGAACGTTTAAATGATGCTCTAGCATCAATTAATCTTTCTATACAACTTTTTCCAATTGAAGCTGAATTTTATTTACAAAGGTAAATGAAAAAAAACTTTTCACTTAACGTCGTTTTTTATAAAATTTGTTTTTTTTGTAGAAGTATAATTTATCGAAAAATGAAAAGATTTCAATTAGCAACTGATGAATGTTTACTTGTTTTTGATAAAATTGGACATAATCAAGAACATAAACTCTACGAACAAGTACAAAAACAATTTGTTCTTATTTATAATGAATGTTCATTAAAATGTTTACAAACTGGTTATTATGATGATGCTATTGATTTATTAAATCGAGCACTTAATTATGAAAAACAATCGGCTGAATTATATATCAATCGAGGAGGTTAGAATTTATATTCTAACAAATAGATGAAAATCTAGAAGAAAAATATTTATTTATTTTTTTTCTTCATAGACTGTTTTTATGCTAAAGGAAAAATAAGTTATGCTCTACAAGATTATGAACAAGCACTTGAAATCACACCAAATAATAAAGAAATAAAATTACGTATTTCCGATGTATTTTTTAATAATGCTGAACAACATTACAAAGAAAAACGATATCAGGTTTGAAGATTTTTTTTTTTATCTAAAGTTAATTTGGGTTTTCTATGTTTTATTTCTTACAGAATTCTTGTGCTGAATTAACAAAAGCTATTGATGTTAATCCATCTATATCAAAATATTATGTTTCACGTTCACGTGTTAAATATTTAACAGAAGATATTGAAGGAGCTCAAGAAGATATTGTTGCAGCTATATTAATTAATCCATTAGAAGATGGATGTATCGATGTTTTACCAAGACTATTTGTTGATACAACACTGGCTGAAGTTCTTAATTCATCATTAACAAAAAATGTTAAAGAGAGCTTATTAAAACGTGGTGTTAAATTAACTATTTCTTGAAAGAAAAACTTCTTTTTTTCATTTTTTCATTTTATTTTTTAATTGAACAAATAAAATAAACTTCGTCCATAATTCTTTTAGATATTTGTAAAGAAAAAAAAACGGAAAAGAAAAAAAGTAAATGGATCCACCACCGAAAAGAAGAGGTCGTCCTAGAAAGTACGTGAGAAAAAAAAACAAATCATATAGAGTTATTCTATAATATTTCTTTTTCCAGAACAAATATTATTCCTAATAATGAAAATCAGACAAATAATACGAATAATGAATGTAAGATTTATTTGATTCGAGATAATTATTTGTTTATAATTTTATTTATCAGTAATTGTACCAAAAATTGAAAATTTATTGACAATGAATACAATGGTTGTTGAACAAAGAAAAGCAGCTAAAGTTAGAAAAAAGTGTATGTTTAATAATAAAATATTCTTATCGACGATTATTAATATGCAAATTATTATTATTA